TAACAATCTGATAAATAAAGTTAAATAACCATTTGATAATTTATTCTCATTCAGCAAAACACTCATGAGGTGCCATTATTCATATTCCCATTTTACAGGTGAATACACTTGGGCATAGAGAGGCCCAATGACTTGCCCATGATGCTATGACTAAAATATTTGCTGTGGGAGCTCTGATCTTAGAAACTTCACTCCACTATCTCATGGGAAATTCCCTCACAGCAATTAATTAACCTTCCAAGGCAGGAGCTAGATGCTCATTTTGAGATGCTAACTATTCACCACACAGTCCTCTGTTGCTCTGACTGGGCTGATGAGGAGGAAAAATGGTTCTTTTGAAAATGTATTTACCTTCAGTATAACAGAGGTTTGGGAGCTCTGGTAGCATAGTGGCTAAGGCACTTGACCGCTAACCAGAAGGCTGGCGATTCAAATCCACCAGCCACTCCTAGGAAGGAAGATGGGGCAATCTACTTCCATAGTGATACTGCTTCAGAAACCCAAGGAGGGGTGGCTATGAGTCGGGTCCGACTTGACAGCACATAACAACAACAATACAACAGAGGATTATCATCTTGTTTGAATTACATTGACTGGGCATCATTAATGATTGTGTCATATCTAGTGATGACTTAAGAGATACATCGTTGACTCCACCAAAAAGAAAACAAAACATAAACAGAAAACCAAAACAGATCTGTAACTGGGAGCCAACTCCAAAGTAAGTGATTTTTAAGGCTAGTAAAAGCATTACCATGTTTCTCATTCTGAAACATTAGGAAACATCAGAAGTTGTGTTTCATAGTGGGAACACCTCAGCCCTTGTGGTGAGATAGACCTGAATTTAAATGTTGAGTGTGCCATTTGACAAGGAAATCTGGTGACATAGTGCTTAAAGAATTTGGCTGCTAACCAAAAGGTCAGGTTTGAACCCACTGGTAGCTCTGCAGGAGAAAGATGAGATGGTCTCTTTCCATAAAGATTCACAGCCTTAGAAACCCAATGGGACACATCTACTCTCTCCTTAAGGGTCTCTACGAGTCAGAATTGACTTGATGGCACTGGGTTTGGTTTTTGGTTTTGTGCCATTTGACAAAATTGGGCCTTTATGTATGATACTCACTCTGTGAATCTTGATTTCCTCCTGTGATCAGTTGAAATAATAGTGATCATCTGTCAGAGTTAGGAGTCTCTGAGTGGGATAAACAGTAAACTGCTTGGCTACTATTGGAAAGGTTAATGGTTTGAATTCACTCACAGGCACTTTGGAAGAAAGGCCTAGTGATCTACTTTGGAAAGATCACAGCTTTTGAAAATCCTCTGGAGCATAGTTCTACTCTGACACACATCATGGGGACATCAGGAGTCAAATAGACTCAATGGCAACTGTTTCCTGCTCCCTCCTTAGGCTTAGTGCTAAGGTTATACAAGACATGTGACATCTGGTGCATGTAGTATGAGTACAGTAAAGCTGTTGTTATTTTTACATTCAATGTCATGTTGTTGTTGTTATGTGCTGTCAAGTCGGATCCGACTCATTGTGACCCCTCCTTGGGTTTCCAAGGTGGTATCACTATGGAGGCAGATTGCCCAACCTTCCTTTGAAGGAGTGGCTGGTGGGTTTGAACCACCAGCCTTCTGGTTAGCAGTCAAGTGCCTTAGGCACTACACGGCCAGAGCTCCCTTCAATGCCATACTCTTCTCTATGAGAGAATGAATGAATGTACATGTGAACAATGGCTCGACCATAAATGACAATCAGTATTTGGTCCCAATAAGATCCCAAAGTGCCAAATCACAATGTCTGTCCACAATTGGTCCAGAAAAGCTAGAATTTGGTCAATGACTGCCAACTTCTCAATTTTTTGCCCTGCTTCTGGCTCAGGACTAACCAGAGAAAGCCAAATATGCTTCCTAAACCAAACACATAGGATGTCCTCCTTTCAGTTAGCCTGCCTCCAGCTTCCCCATGCTAATGGCCTCCAATCAGGGCATACTTGAAACCTTCTTTTTTTTCATTACAGAGCTTCCCACACCTCTGCCTACTTTGCCTATTTCCAAATGCAAGTGTGGTGACTGATTTGCTGTAGCAACCCCTGAATAAATAAGCCCTGTTCACATTTGGGTTGTATTTGCTTCTTTCCACATGCCATTTGGTCTTTCACACAATTATTTGTCTTTTCTCTCTTTGTAGGTTAGTGTTTCCTCCTTGCCTTATGTGAATAATTTATATTCATCTTTTAATGTCAGCTTAGATATCCCTAATAATAACAATAATAATCATCATGATCTGGATGATAGCTAACGTGCACTGAGACTTTACCACATGCCAAGAAGTGTTCCAAGCAGATTCCATTTACTACTTCATTAAACTTTCACAATAATTCATTGAAGTGAGATTCTGTTGTTATCCACATTTTCCATATGGAGAAGGAGACTTTGGAGAGACAGTAGTTTACCCAAGGTCATTGAGCAACTAGATAAAGGAGTTGTGAGATAAATTCAGGTATATGGGAGTCATAGTCCACCACTGAAGGCATTTTGCTACATTGCTTTCAGAATGTTCTCTCAGATGCCCCAAGTTTGGGGTAAGCACTTCTTATCATATGTTCCCATAGCAGTCTGTACTTCACCAGTATTTCTATATTATAGATGGTGCCATAGTGCCTAAAGCATTTGACTTGCCAGAAGGCTGGTGGTTCAAACCCAGCAGCCACTCCTTGGAAGGAAGACTGGGCAATCTACTTCCGTAGAGATACTGCCTCAGAAACCCAAGGAGCGGTCGTTATGAGTCGGAATTGACTCTAAGGCAATGAGGTTTTTTTTTTTTTTTTACATATTTATCTACAGTCTCAAGTAAAATGTAAGCTCCTTGAGAGAATGAACAGTGTCTATCTTGCTTATATGTATACGTCCATCATATGGTGTTGTTGTTGTTAGGTGTTGTCAAGTTGGTGGCAACTCTTCGTGAATCCATGTACAACTGAATGAAACAATGACCAGTCCTGCATCATCCTCACAGTCACTGCTATGCTTGCGCCCTTTGTTGGCAGCCACTGTGTCAATCCATTTTGTTGAGGGTCTTCCTCTTTTTTTGCTCACTCTCTACTTTATCAAGCATGATGTCCTTCTCTGGGGACTAGTCCCTCCTGAACCCATGTCCAAAATACATGAGATGAAGTCTTGACATCTTCGCTTCTAAGGTTGTACTTCTTACATAATATATTCCTGTGAGAATCAGCTGGTAGCCAGAGGTGGCTATGAATTCCCCTGGACTAAGTTAGAGTTTTAGAGCAAACCATTAACTGTGTATCTCTTAATATTCCAAGCCTCTGGCTATCAGCCTCTGTAACCCACATTCTGGGACAGATGTTGAGGTCTTGTTCATGCTCAGTGAGTATCTTCTACCCTTGTAAGACTGATGGGTCTGGGAAAACACTTAGGCAGTCATCTTGTTCAATTCATGAGCTTTAGATTTAATAAGCTTAAGATAATTCATTCATTCAACAAATATTTTATTGTCTGTTAAATTTCTGGTACTGTCCTAGGATTCAGAATTCCAGAGGTGAACTACATAGGCAATGACTCTGCTTTTATGGAGCTTATATTCTACTGAGGCTAAGAGACAAAAACAAGTGGGCAAAAAAAAAAAAAAAAAAAATATTGTCTACAATTATGAAAATAACACAAAATTATTGCTAGCAACTTGCCCAAAAGTATACATTTCAGTACATGCATCTTCCAATCATATCACCCCATCCTGATCTCACACCCTAATCAGTCAGCCTTCTTTGGAATCCTTCATGATTCTTTCCAGTCTTTAATTGATGATACCTGTTGTTTGTTGGCCTAAAGTCAGCTTTGACTCATGAGGACCTTATGTATAACAGAGTGAAACATTGCTTGGTTCTGTACTATCTTCATAACCTTGGTGTATTTGAGACAGGGCTTTGAACCAAACTTATTCTGGTTCAACCAATTGCTGAGAATTTGTCTTTCCACCCCAGATGTACTGAATTTTGTAAGATAAAAGGTGATACAGGCTACACCCAGGAAAACTCGCCTTACATCAGATCAGGGCTGTGACCTGATTAAGGATCTTGCATCCCACCATAATCCCCTTACCACTCACTCATGAGCTGATCACATCAGAACACATCATGGGATGATTACCTTATTATGTAACTGCCAAACTGCTGAGAATCATGGACCAGCCAGTGTATGTGCTGGTTCAATACATCTAGGGTGTAAGGGGATTGAACAGGAATGAACTTGGTAGAAGTCCTGGTTTGAACTCACTCTCGCAGCTATGGTGTCTGTCCACCTCATGGAGGGTTTCCCTGAACATCTACTTTACCAAATATAACGCTCTTTTCTAGTGAGTGCTCATTCTGATGATGTGTCCAGAGTAAGCAAGATGAAGTCTCACCACTCTTGCTTCTAAGAAGTATTCTAGCTCTACTTCTTTCAAGACTGATTTGTTTGTTCTTCTGGCAGTCCAGCATTCTTAGACAACACCACAATTCAAACGTCAATTCTTCAATCTTCCTTTTTCATTATCCAGTTTTCACATGCATATGCAGTGACTGAAAAGATTATGGCTTGGTGTAAATACACCTTGGTCATCAAAACGACATCGTTGCTTTTTTAACACTTTAAAGAAGCCTTTTGCAACATTGTTTGTTATCTGTTGTTATTGTTATTTGCCATGGAGTTGGACTTGACTCATAGCAACCCCATTATCACTATGAAGTAGGATTGCCCAACCTTCCTTCCGAAGAGTGGCTGGTGGGTTTGAACCGCCAGCCTTCTGGTTAGCAGTCAAGTGCCTTAGGCACTATGCTACTATCCAGGAAGTAATATTTGACACAAATGCAACTTGTTTTGAGTGAAAAGTCATTTAGGAAATGGTTCCTAATCTGGCTTATTTAAAATTTGTTGTCAATATACTTAAAGTAACTTTTCTTTGCATGTTTTCTTTTTTTTTTCCCTTCCCCTAGGCATTGATTATTACAACAAAATCATTGACGACTTGTTAATAAATGGGATTACCCCCATTGTGACCCTTTACCACTTTGACTTGCCCCAGGCTTTAGAAGATCAAGGAGGTTGGTTGTCAGAAGCCATCATTGAGTCTTTCGATAAATATGCCCAGCTTTGCTTCAGTACCTTTGGGGATCGGGTCAAGCAGTGGATCACCATAAACGAGCCCAATCTGTTTGCTCTCTTAGCATATGATTTTGGTGTATTTCCTCCAGGTGTGCCTCACATTGGGACTGGAGGTTATCAGGCAGCTCATAATTTGATCAAGGCACATGCCCGATCCTGGCACAGCTATGATTCCTTATTCCGAAAAGAGCAGAAGGGTATGGTGTCATTAGCATTTTTTTGTGGCTGGGTGGAACCAGCAGACCCCAACTCAGTGGCTGATCAGGAAGCTGCTCAAAGAGCCATGGCCTTCCAGTTGGGTTTCTTTGCTAAACCCATATTTATTGATGGAGATTATCCTGATGTTGTCAAGTCCCAGGTTGCCTCCATGAGTAAAAAGCAAGGCTATCCATCGTCCAGACTCCCAGAATTTACAGAAGAAGAGAAGAGGATCATCAAAGGCACTGCTGATTTCTTTGCTGTGCAGTATTACACAGCTCGTTTAATTAAGCACAAAGAGAACAAGAAAAGAGAACTGGGTGTTCTTCAGGACATGGAGATTGAAATGTTCCCAGATTCATCTTGGGAAGTTACAGACAAGGTCTACGTGGTGCCATGGGGGATACGTAAACTTCTGAAACATATTATGGTAAATGCACCATTTGTTTGTATCTATGTACAGTTAGATATTTGAAGGTGGAAGGACAGGCAAATGTATGTATATATGTATGTGGACCTGAAACAAAAGCAATTTTAGGCAATAGCATGCTTAGGAAAAGCAGATTAGGATTTGAATGGTGGTTGGTGAAGGGTAATCAGCTGATTTAAAAAAAAAAAATCCAAACTAGTTTCCACTTAGTTGATTCCAACTCCTGGTGTCCCCATGTGGAACAGATTAGAACTGTGCTCCATAGAGTTTTCAGTGGCTGATTGTTCAGAAGTAAATTGCCAGACTTTTCTTCCAAGCTGCATGGATTCAAACCTCCAACCTTTTGTTTAGTAGCTGTGTGTCACTGAAAAAAACCAAAACCAAAACCAAACTCATGGCCATCGCGAGTTGAATCTGGCTCATAGACACCCCTCCTTGGGTTTCCAAGGTGGTATCACTACGGAAGTAGATTGCCCAACCTTCCTTCCGAGGAGTGACTGGTCTGATAAAGGGCTTCAAACCTATTAACAAAAATTAACATTTGTTTTTAAAGTCAGTCGTGGCCAGTAGCTTAGAAATGCTTTTCAGATGGTTCCATGACTGTGATTATTATAAGACACACTAAGTACCGAGATAGCTGACTGGATCCCTTTTTGGTTTCAGTTATGCTGGATGGCATCCAAGGAACTGAAATTAAAATTTCAAGTTGTTGGTTGTCAGGACTCCTCCTGCCAGTGCTTAGAGAATGTAGTGTCTAGAGTGACCAAGGGGTTAAGGAGCAGTGACAATCAGCAGATGCTGATGGAAGAAAGATAGTTCCATTTCCTTATTATAATAAAAGTCATTTGACTGTCTTCATGGACTTTTGCACAGTTTTGCTTCTCCATTATTAGTCATAAAAGGTCAGTGCATGGAAAATTAAGTTAATAGGGTCAATGCAATTTGATGAAAACTAGTTTTGGGTTGTAGCTTAGCGAACAGAGAGGGTAATGCACCTGATTTTATGGCTTTCTTTCTTTCTTTTCTTCTTTTTTTTTTTTTACATCTGTTTGGAATAAAACTTCTGCTCTCTTGTTCTAGGATACGTATAATAACCCTGTAATTTACATCACCGAGAATGGGTTTCCCCAGGGTGACCCTGCACCTCTTGATGACACTCAGCGCTGGGAGTATTTCAGGCAGACATTTCAGGAACTGTTCAAAGGTACCGTTTGAAATGATGAAAGATCAATTGTGCAAACTTAATATAATTTTCCCATGTGCTTATTTGCATTCAGCAAAGACCAATGATTTTGAAAGCTGAAATTCATGTAAATCAGTGTAAAGCAATGTAATTAAGAGAGAGGAGAAAAAGTATTTAGGAAAGAGGGAGGTGAGGATGTTGGCCTGGCTTCAACCTCTAGAAATTTAATCAAGTAAAAAGCGACTGTCTTCAGCATTTTGTGACTTCTGGGTGAAGGTGACGTGAATAGAAGGAGTGACAGCTGTTGGGAAAACACATTAGGTGTTACAAAAAGATTAGCACTGACCAACTACCCTATGCTTATTTGCATATTTTAATATGCTAACTACCAGAAATAAATTGACAGGGTTTTAAAAGACTCAAATTCAACATTTGTGCAATAACCTTAAAAATGACATGAGTCTTCAATCAATGTAGGTTTCACTTAAGCAGTAAGTGTAGCCTAGTTAGAAACAATTGTTACATAGAATCTGTGAATTATGTGTCAAGATAATATTACTTTTCTGATAAATCTTTTACCTTCCTAAAAAAGACAAAACAAAACAAAAAACAAAACAAAACAAAACAAAAAACAAAACAAAACAAAACCCAGTGCTACTCAATCAATTCTAACTCCTATCTACCCTCCTGGATTTTTTTTAAAAATCATATTTGGAAACTAATGTGATAGAATATTTATTTGGTAACATACATTTCTAAATTTATGCACTAAGCACTACTACTAAAGGTGAAGAAATTGGAAATTTTGTTACCAACTTCAGCAGTCTAAAATTGATCAAACATGCAATCAAGATGCACTGATGATTTCTGGTGATTCGAATGTGAAAGTTGGAAACAAAGCAGAAAGAAAAACACTGGAAACACTTATTTATGCAAAGAAATTTGGAAGACAGTTACCGACTGGGAAGAGATTCATATGCATGCCCATTCAAAAGAAACATGATCCAACAGAATGCAGAAATTATATAAAAATATCATTCATATCACACATAAGCAAAATTTTGCTGAAGATAATTAGAAAAAAAAAAGCAGTTGCAGCAGTATAGTAGCAGAGAACTTTCAGAAATGCAAGCTGGATTCAGAAGAGGATGTGGAAGGAGGGATAACATTGCTGATGTCAGATGGATCTTGGCTGAAAGCAGAGAATACCAGAAAGATGTTTACCTGTGTTGTATTGACTATGCAAATTCTTTCTACTGTATGATTTGTATCAAATTATGAATCACATTGTGAAGAATGTCAATTCCAGAACACTTAATTGTGCTCATGGGGAACCTGTACATAGAACAAGATGTAGTCACTCAAACAGAAGAAGGTGACATTCTGTGGTCTAAAATCAGGAAGGGTGTCCATCAGGGTTATATCCTTTCACCATAGTTATTTAGTCTGTCGGCCGAGGAAATAATCCAAGAAACTGGACTATAGGAAGAAGAATGCAGCATCAGGATTTGAAGAAGAGTCATTAACAGCCTTCAGTATACTGACACAATTTATTTGCTGAAAGTGAACACAAACCAAACCAAACCCGCTGCCACTGAGTTAACTTTGACTCATAGTAACCCCATAGGGTTTCCAAGGCTGTAAATTTTTACAGAAGCAGACTGCCTCATCTTTCTTCTGCCAAGTGGCTGATGGGTTCAAATTGCCAAACTTTTTGTTTAGCAGCCAAATGCCTTAGCCACAGCACCACCAGAGCTCTTTTGCTGAAAGTGAAAAGAACTTGAGGTACTTACTGATGGAGATCAAAGACTAGAAGTCTTCAGTATGGATTACATTTCAACATAAAGAAAACAAAACCCTTCGCAAGTAGACCAATAAGTGAATCATGATAAATGAAGACAAGATTGAAGTTACCAAGGATTTCATTTTCCTTGGATCTGCAATCAATTCCCATTGAAGCAGCAGTCAAGAAATCAAAGGAGGTATTGGATTAGGCAAATCTACTACAAAAGACCTCTTTAAAGTGTTAAAAAGCAAAGATGCCACTTTGAGGGTTAAAGTGCACCTGGCCAAAGCCATGGTATTTTCAACAGCCTCGTATGTGTGTGAAAGCTAGACAATGAATAAGGGAGAGTGAAGAAGAATTTTTGGATTTGAATTATAGTTTTGGAGAAGGGTATTGAATATACCACTGACTTCCAGAAGAATGGATAAATCTGTCTTGGAAGAAATATAACCAGAATGTTCCTTAGAGGGGAGCATGGTAAGACTTTGTCTCACATACTTTGGACATATTATCAGAAGAGAACAGACCCTGGAGAACGATGTCATATTTGGTACATTACAGAGTAGGAAAAAGAGGAAGACCCTCAAAAAGATGGTTTGACACAGTGGCTGCAACAATGGGCTCAGGCATGGCAACAGTTGAGAGGATGGCTCAGGACTGTGCAATGTTTTATTCTGCTGTATGTAGGGTCACTATGAGTTGGAAACAACTCAATGGCATCTGACAACAACAATACGCATCCCTAAACCAGTTCATTTCTCTCTTATCTATCATGTTCAGTATTTTTTTTTTTTTTTTGCCAACTGTGCCCTCCTCCTTGGAAGTATTTTTGTAAGCCCACTATGTTAAATTTTTCCAACAAAATGTCAACACATTAAGATAAGTGCACTTACAATATTGCTGGGGAAGAGAGGAAGTTGGAAAAACATGTTATTTGCATAAAATGTATCTCCTGGAACGTTGTTTGTCAGTTCCTCAATTTAATTCTTCTTTCTTGTCCAGGTGAAAGGTTGTATCCTTTCACCATACTTATTCAATCTGTATGTTGAGCAAATAATCCAAGAATCTGGACTCTATGAAGAAGAATGCAGCATCAGGACTGGAGGAAGACTCATTAACAACCAGCAATATGAAGTTGACACACAACCTTGCTTGCTGAAAGTGAAGAAGACTTGACACACTTCCTGATGAAGATCAAAAACTTCATAGCCTCTGTATGGATTACTCCCCAATGGAAAGAAAACAAAAATCCTCATGACTGGACCAATAAGAAACACCATGGTAATTAGAGGTAATATTGAATTTGTCAAGGATTTCATTATAGAAGGATCTACAATCAATGACCTTGGAAGCAGCAGTAAAGAAATCAGGCATTGTATTGCACTGGGAAAATCTGCTGCAAAAGACCCCTTTAAAGAGGTAAGGAGCAAAAATGTCACTTTGAAGACTAAGGTGCATCTGAACCAAGCCATGGTATTTTCAATTGCAACATATGAAAGCTGGACAATGAATAAAGAAGACTGAAGAAGAATTGAAGCCTTTAAATTGTGATGTTGCTGAAGAATATTGAAAATATCATGGACCGCCAAAAGAACTAACAAATGTGTCCTGGAAGAAGTGCAGCCAGAATGCTCCTTGGAAGCGAGAATGGCCAGACTTCGTCTCACCTACTTTGGTCATGTTGTCAGAAGGGTCTGGTTCTTGGAGAAGTATGTCATGCTTGGTAAAGTAGAGGTCAGTGAAAAAGGGGAAGGCCCTCAAAGAGATGGATTGACACAGTGGCTGCAACGATGGGCTCAAGCACAGCAGGGATCGTGAGGCTGGGACAGGACCAGACAGTGTTTCATTCTGTAGTACATGGGGTCACTATGAGTTGGGGCCAACCCAACGGCACCTAACAACAATAGCAACAGTATGGCTGGGACAGGACCAGACGGTGTTTCATTCTGTTGTACACGGGGTCACCATGAGTCGGGGCCAACCCAATGGCACCTAACAACAACAAGAGCAACAGTACTGGAATAAGCCAGAAGAAACTCTGGAAATGGACAGAAGGCTGTGGTGTCTTCTCGAAATCTAAAATATACTGACTTGATCCCACTACCTGGTCTGAGGTTTCTTGGCAGAGGGTGATAGGATTCCTACAATTTGGTCCAAGCAGTATAACTCTTTTGTATTACACTCTAATCAGATTCTTTCACTGGGTCAGAATAATCTAATCAGGGTTGAAATCTCTGGTTTTCTGAGATTCCTTCCTATCCCTCCCAGTAAGGTGAATAACTCACTGATGCTTTCAGGCTTCATCCTGAGAGACCTGTAGGCCAGTTACCACCAGGCCAGCTTTATGGATATACAGGAAACACTAATGACTTGCCCAAAGTTGTTCTGTGTATTTTTTTTGGGCAAAAAGAGAAAATAGAAATTGGCTTTTTTCATTTCCAGCCTTGTGCTCTATTTAGTGATAATTATATAAGGATATTTCTTTCATTCTTTTTTGTTTGAAATAGTTTCACATAGTTTGTAAGTCCACTAGATTTTTTTTTTAATTATTGTTGTAAAATATGTATAGCATATTTGTCAATGTGATGTTTTTCATGTGTACAATTGAGCAGTATCAATTACATCAATCCTGTGTGCAACCATCACTGATAGTCATTGCCAAACTTTTCATCACCAGAAACATAAATGCAATTTTTCCTAAACAATGATTCCCTCTTTCCCCTTCCCACCACCCCTGGTAACCACTAATAAACACTGATCTCCATACATTTGCCTAGTTGATGTATTTTATATGAGTGACACCATATATAGCCCTGGACTTGCAGATAGTCTTTTAAAGTGCTTCATACTGTCTCTGAAAGAACCAACAGGTTCTCTGACCTTGGTGGTGGACAAAGCTCAGGTACTCGTATACTGTGTCTTGCAGGAGAGGAGCTGAACTTACTAATCAATTTCCTGAGACTCCTCGGAGGTAACACTGATGATCTTGATTGGCAAGAACTTTACTAGTGAGAAGCACCCTGTGAGCAGTTAAAAATAATAACAGGCCAGGGAAGACATTTGTGGGAAGTGCTGCAGGTGAGAGCCCCACCAGTACCCAGGAAATCAGGTGGATGATGGCTTGTGATTCCCACAACAAAGCCTTCCCTCCAACATCACACATACAGACAGGCACATAATGACTCTATAGTTGGATCAATGGCATCAGCCTGAGGGTCTTACTGATCTCTTCAGG